CCTGATGCTTCGGCTAGAACATTTTCTTGCGTAATTCGTACACCCAAGGGCAGAAGGATTTAATCGCCGTCAGGTCCGAAGTCCATACGACGCCCCAGCTCTGCGGATGTCTCGGGGGTATGGCACAGTGGAATCGATTTTTTTTTMTTTTTTTTCTTTTTTTCTTCTTTCGCTTAGGTTCAAATCGCAGCGTAAATTACTTTATTTTTGCGCTGTGGTAGGATAACATAGGTTAATACAAGAGAAAAGGATCATAATCTCTTGTTTTAATTTAATATCAAAATAGTGTCCTTTTTTCAAAAGACTATTTAATAGTATCCTTTTTTCACTTGAGCATATTTAAGGGTATCCTCCAACACTTCCAAGAGTAACCTTTTTTCAAGTTGCCATATTTAATGGTATCCTTGACCATATTTAAGAGTATTCTTTTTTGAAATGACCATATTTAAGGGTATCCTTGATCATGACCATATTAAGAGTATTCTTTTTTGAAATGACCATATTTAAGGGTATCCTTGACCATATTTAAGAGTGTCTTTTTTTGAAATGACCATATTTAAGGGTATCCTTGATCATGACCATATTAAGAGTATCCTTTTTTGAAATGACCATATTCAAGGGTATCCTTGACCATGCTTAAAAGTAACCTTTTTTCAAATTGCCATATTTAAGGGTATCCTTGACCATATTTCAGAGTGTCTTTTTTTGAAATGACCATATTTAAGGGTATCCTTTACATTATTTAAACTAGCTGAAAAGGTTGCGGGCGTGTAAAATAATGATTCAGCTTTGTTGCATCGGATAGAAAAGGTCTCCAGGATTGGATCAGTGTCTACCTTCAGTTTTTACTGGGATATCTTATGAAAATACCGTATGGATGTGAAAAAGTAGCTACCTCATGCCTTCATGCTTAGTTCACATCTAGTGAAAGGACCTTTCAAACTCCAGAGTCAACAGTCTAAGCCATATTAAATTATTATGTTTTTTAACTACTTTTAATGTATATATTTTTTCTTACGCGTTTAGAAGAACATATTAACTTTTCGATTAGGAAAAAGAAAAACTTGAAGCTTTTAAAAGATTTCTTTTTTTCTCTATGTTCTATAAAAAGAAATAATGGTCAAATGAATGTGGTTTGGGAGTGGATCAGAAGCTTCAAAGGTCATTTTACTGGATGTGAACTTCAAGTTAGCAAAATAATTAAAGAGCCTGTCCACAGGCTTGAAAGTCACAATCAGGGGCTGGGCTATCTGTGGTATATTCACCTTCGTCGCACCACAGGCAGTACATACTCTTAAATAGTAAACAATAAACGCACACCATAAATATATGTATTTTGACCACACATAAAAACCAATGCTCACCTTTTCTGTTTTCACTTGAATAGCATAGATCGTTTTGGGGATACGGTACAGAAACTCCATTCGTTTGGAGTTTGGCTTGTACGCCTATACAACACACCCACCTCCCGAATTAACTAGGTAATGCAATCTATTTTTTTCATCGGCTAGAAAAAAWTTTTTTTYCCTAAAAAATCGATATATTCTAGATTTTTAGAATAAGCTACGACACTCAAAAAGTCCATCAAAGTAAGCTTATTTTCTCTTAGATACATCCACAGAAGGCGTCCCTCTGAAGCGTGTGAAGGAGTGCGGAGTAGCTGGAGTTTGAAAAAGATCACAACATTCAAAAGGACACCAAAGTCAGCTTATTTTCTCTTAGATATTGCATCGACAGAAGGCGTTCCTCTGAAGCGTGTGAAGGAGATCGGAGAAGCTGGAGTTTGAAAAAGATCACAACACTCAAAAGGACACCGAAGTCAGCTTATTTTCTCTTAGATATTGCATCGACATGCAGAAGGCGTCCCTCTGATGCGTGTGAAGGAGTGCGGAGTAGCTGGAGTTTGAAAAAGATCACAACACTCAAAAGGACAACAAAGCAAGCTTATTTTCTCTTAGATATTGCATCCACATTTGGTGTCCTTCTGAAACGTGTAAAGGAGTATGTACGAGGCAGCGAGTTTTACAAATATCACAACACACAACAGGTTACGAAAGTAAGCCTATTTTCTCTAAAATATAAGATCACACAGCACTCAAAAGAAAATTTATCTTCTTTTTTTTCACTTATTATTTTTAGGTATGGTATGGATAATTAGAATATTTTGTTACTAGCCCTTCTTTTTGGCGATATCGATGCATGTCACGTGTCCCCACCTTACACCAGGATATTGTCCACATGCACCTCATTAGGAACGAGGCACGCCACCGTACCGGAATTTTCCAGGCTGAAAAATTGCAGTCGAGGAAAAAAACAATTTTTCAGCTTGTCGTCTCTGAGAGAAAAGGACTCCAGGACTGGATAAGCCGTGAGTAAGGTAATGGCTAGATGGGATACTCGCAGTCCAGGTGACTAAGGTAATGGCTAGATGGGATACTCGCAGTCCAG